TAACGCTACCTACCTACTGATTAACATTCATCCAGCACTCACTGTGCACAGACCATCTCACTAATCCTCACAATGCCACACCCACCTTCTACTTGAGGAAACCAAGGTAGAGAGAGGTTAAAGAACTTGCCCAGCCCATGAAGCTGCAGGACCAAAGCCCGATTGCAGGGAAAGCCACCTGACCCTGGGCCTGTATGCTTAACTGCTGTGCTGCTCTGCTCTGAGGGCAGCTGGCTGTCCCCCCAACAGCAAGAACAAGGGGAGATGCACCTGCCAAGCAGCACTCACTGCCTAGAACGGCCCCTAGAAGGGACAACCACCACAGAAGCTAAAGCGATAAAAAGCAGAGGGGTCAAGATTGCTGCAGAAAGGCCAGGGAACCAACTGACTCCCAGCAGGCTCAGCCTCAAAGGGGACTGCACGCATTTCCCCGACTCCCCTGTCTGGAACCAACCCCCCTATCGACCTCACCCCTGCCAGCACCTCCCCTTACTCTGCTTTGCTTTCTTCGCAGCACTTATGACCACCTGGCACAACAGAACCCAAGCACTTCTTTATCTTCATTCCAACAGCACAGCGGCTCCATGGGCGCAGGGATTCCATGATGCTCCTGCTGTATCTTCAGGGCTTAGCACACTGGAGACACTCAAATGTTTGTGAACCACATGAATTAAATATGTATTAGAGGCCCGGGTCCATAACATGGCACTAGCACGATGGAGTACATAAAGATATGACATCCCTGACCCTTCTACTCGAAGAACTCACGGTCAAGCAGGGTGGAACAGACAGACACACAGGGAGAGAAGACAAGCCACTGAGCAGTAGATACGAGCAGCCCTGCTAAGGGCCCAGGAGGTTCAACAATGGAACTCTGAGTTCCAGCTAGAAAGGAGAGAAGGGAGATGGCCTGAATCGGGCCTGAAGGGACGATGGCAGAGAAGAGGTGTGAGTAGAAGGTGGCGTTCCAGAGAGAGGCGCGGCATGAGCAAAGGCACAGAAGGGAGAGAGCTCCAAGGAGCACCACGGCTCAGTCTGGCAGGGACATGAAAACATCAAGTGTGACGAGCTGCTGGAGCTGCTGGAGTGCCACCTGTCGAGGGCCTTGGATGGCAAGTCAAGGAAGCTGGAACTGGGAATCAGTGAAGGCTACAAGCAGGGACGTGGTCAGTCTTCTGTTTGCACAGGAAAGTCTGGCAGAGCAGGAGGCGGGACTGAGATGACAAAGGGGCTGGTAGCAGGGGCACCACCACAACAGTGCAAATCAGGAGGAGGAGCACTGAGAAGTGTGACAACTGAAGCAGTGACAGGGACGGAATGGATACAAAAGACACCAAGGAAGTAAAACTATTTAGACCATCTGACTGAATGCGCAGGTAAGAGGAAAAGGGAATGGACGGAATAGCGTGATCTCATTTGTACTTGCAGAAAGAGTCCACTTGTATCCACGGCCTTGGGAAAATTCTGAAAGGATTCATGAGAAATTGTGACCAGCTGGCATTTAAAAATAAGATGCATTCCACAAGAAGAAAAACTCCTAAAGTAACAGGGATGGGGAAAACTGATAGCAAGGTCCTGAGTCTGGCTCGCGGGAAAGAGGCAGGCATCGTTATTGAGCCACATTATTGAGCTCTGTAAGTGTGTCATGTTCCAAGTCCATCCATGCAGCTCTGTTCCACAGGCAAACAGGCTGCACAGGAAGATGCAAGAGGCTACCTCTCTAGAAAGATGTTAGGGAATCCCTGGCATACGAGAGCCTAGGGCAGGCCAGAGTAAGAATGTAATTTCCCCACACTCCAGAGGCGGGCAGCAAAGCTCACGGCTAGAAGAGAAGACCGCAACCCAAGAGTGATAAGGGTGCCTATTTAAGGCTAATGACAAAAAAGACCCTGACTTGCTGATCCTAGAGCACGCTCCATATGCCAGGCTCCGGGTAAGGGTAGTCCCTGTGCAGCAGCCGCCATTTTACAGATGAAGAAACTAGAGTCGGGGAGGTGAAACGTGGGAAGTGCTAGGGCCAAGACTCAAATCCAAACCCTGGACACTTAACAGGGACCCCTGCACAAGTAAAGGCAATAACATGGAGCTGCTCTGAGGTGACAAGTAACCCTTTTCATAGAAGGGAAGACTGGGAAACAATAGAATGATTTGCAGTTCCCACTTCCCCCACCCACTGCTTTATGGAGCCCCAGGAAGATGGACGGGTGGAGCATCCGTATACTCACAAAACAGACAACCTACTTTAAAAACTAATTGAATGTCAAGGTGAAAATGAGCATGTTTTTAGCCTTAAAAATGTTAACTACCTAGGCACATTTGGGAAGGCACAATGTGGGAAGCAGTTCAAGCATTATTCTTTGCATTGAAAGTTCACACAGTTTACAAAGCGAGGCATCACAGGCAGGAGCGGTGTCATCGTCCTCACTCCAAAGATGAAGACAGTGATGTACAGAGAGTGACTTCCCAAAGTTATACAGTGGGTCAGCAGCCAAGACAGGCCTACGCGGCCATACTCCATCTACTCAAAGCAGTGTTTTCCGAGGGCCTGCTGGGTGCCAGGCACTGGAAAACCAGGAAGAGATAAAATCAGCTCAGACCTACAGCAAGCAGGCAGTGTGGGCTAGGACAGGCCTAGCACCACGACAGTGCCAACACGGCCAGTTTCAAAAGGACAGGCTTCCCAGACACTCAGCCTGTCAGCTCCTGGTGCCAACACCCCAATTCCCAACACCCCAATCTATGTAGAGGTGTTGCCCAACCCCATGATCCGAAAAAGATCACCCCCTTGCCTAAGGCTGTTGCCTTGGAGATTTTGTTCCCTAGCTCTTCAGTTTTCTATGAGCTGAAATTAGATGCACCGGCTGCTCACCACAGATGTCAATCCCAGAAAGGCAGTACAAGAAGAGCCCTCGGAGACCTCCTACACCAAGCATGGCACACACAAATGCCCACAGGAGTTGGGCAGGTGGTGGAAACAAATAAAACAGGCCTGATTTTAAAAAATAAAATGTATAAAGCACCATGCAAGGATACCATGGTGTAACTGTGATGAGACTGCACGGCCACATGAAGAGCGTAGCCATCTCGCGACTCCAGCAAAGTGCTGCCATATGAGAATGGCAGACTTTCCATTTGTTCCTCAAAGAAAGTTAAAAATCAATTTTATGTAAAGCCTACCAACTTTTAAACGGTAGCAATTACTTAAAATCAATTAATATCATTAAGTTTCTGGACTCATAGCTTGAGGCAAGAAAAACTGAGCCAGTGGCTTAAAAGTTTATCCAACAAGAATTTTATTGACTTGTGCCAAGCTCTGGCTTAGGTGCTGAGGACAGAGAGATGAAGAAGATGTGGCCCCTGTTCACGGGGCAGTAAGGAAGTAAGTGTGGAATAGATCATTTCAGCCCAGGGCAGTAAGCCCTGGGAGGAGAGCACAGAGTCTGCAGAGGACACCACCGAAAGCTCCTTCTGAAGGCAACACTTGCACTTGGCCAGCCAGGAGGGGAGGAGAATCACAGGCACACATGCATGAAGCAGCTTAAGGTCCCGCAGGAGCAAGTGTCCCTGCAGGGAGGCACAGTGAAGGCAGAAAGTGGCCCCCACATATGGAGGAAACATGCCTTTAACTGAGAGGCAAGGGAGAGACACGAAAGGACGCGACACAATCAGTCTCAACTCTGAACAGTCCCTGGGACACGAGAAGCTGGTCACGGGCTGCCTCTGGGAGCAGGACCAACAAAACACAGCAGAAGGGAGATGGGCTTTTCCCTGGGCGCCTCCTTTTCAACTGTCTGCATTTAATGACCATCTGCAGGAAACCTGTTCAAAAGTAAAATTTACCTTTTTAAAAAAATTAGCCTGGTAGCACCAGAAAGTATAGATTTGTAGGAAGCAAGCTAATAAAGAACAATTTTTCACTGGTCAAAGGGAAGACGGTGTAGGCCTGAACTGAGAATAGAAAGAACAAACAGGAGAGGGCAAAACTGAGAAACTGTTGGAAGGTGAAGCTCAAGACTTGTCATGAATGTAGAGAAAGAGAGGAATGCGGATGAAGGACTGGATAGTAGAGCTACTCACAACAGAAGAGACAAGGGTCATCTCTAAGGGGGCAGAGAAGAAACGTGGGTAAGCCCCATTTGGACACAGTCAATTAAATGTACCCATGGGACATGCATGGGGTGCTGGCAGGGGCATGTGGAAAGCTCTGGGTTGGATATTTAGAATCCAGAAGTCATGGGTACATCAATGAGGATGAAAGAGAATGGCCAGAAACAGGGCGCAGAAGGGATAGCGGGCTCAGAAAAGGTCAGAAGCTCCTACCGGACACAGGAAGGGCAGAGACGGTGGTTGATGCTGGACACCAGTGCCACTGTGGAGAGCAGAAATGACCCCTTCCAATAAAGGGAAAAGGCAGCACTTGAAACCTGGGAGGATCAAGGCTGCCTTCCAGTGCAGCACCTTTACTTTCCAAATGTGGGAACTGGCCCGAGACGAGCTTAGTAAGGGTTACAATTAACAACCACCTTACATTTATATTATTTTATAGATATATCTTTTACATACAGAGGCCTTCAACATTGTACTGTGATACAAGAAAGGAGGAATGTAATGGAATTTCATCATATATGAGGGTCATATGCTGAAGTCAGAAGGTGGAAATAACTTTTTAACTATTGTACTATTTAGATTGTATTACTGGTTACACTGTTCTACTATTACAATAAAATTTAAAGGACGTTCAACCAAACCCTTGAGAGTGATTCCTTCTGCACCTAAAGTACAGTGTGGTTGTGTAGACAGTCCCCTGCTGTCATTCTCACACACAGTGAGTTTCAGAACCTCCAAGGCAGAAAAATGGAGCGCACCAGAGGGAAATCTACACGCAGGTGTCTGGGCCTTCAACCATCCTGTCTTTAAGATGAGCCTCCGCTCCTCAGCAGCTGAGACGGAAAAGGTAGAGAGACCTAAAGCACTGTGCTTCCCTGCAGAATTTGCTTTACCTTGTTTTCTAATGCGTCAGCACTTGTCAGATGATGTGATGGATTCAGGAGCATCAAACAGAATAACACATGTGAAAGCAGCTAGCCCAGAAACCAGCACACAGTGTGAACTCAAGAACCGTTTGCTGGACTTGAAATCAGAAGCAGATACTTTTCATTGAAAAGTAGCAGAGAAGTTGGCCGCCTGTTTTCTGGCTTTCCAGCTGGCAATTCCTGATGTGGGCTCCATCAAACTGCACTCATCCAAACAGTTACCAGGTGAGCTTTACAGCTGTAAAAGACCAGAGAAGACCTATAATGCAACCCCTTCTCAGTGTCTATGCTAAATGGGTGCATGGAGATGCTACATCATATCTCTATCTTGCACATAAGGAGAAAGACTCATCCTTCTGAAGTGTCAGGGCATAAGTCCAGGTCTGGGATTTTCTGTTTACCATACTGCCTTTAAGCGAGTCAACTAAGATGAATGCTGCAACCAAAAAGCAGACATTCTAGGGTGAACAGGAACCCAAGCACAGAGGTTAACATCCAGCAGGAACAAAAGAAAGAAAAGGAAAAGGAATCATGTAAAACATATCATAAGGAACTTCCATGTTCAAGCTGAAACAGTCAAGAAGGCAAGCTCAGAAGCATTTCACTAGGCAACCACGTGACGGAAAACAAAGTCTGCCGCACACATCCAGAACAGTGTGTGTTAAAGCCTGGAAGAATAAGATTCTCATGCACAGCTGCCACAGGATCGCCAGCTTGGCTAGAGAAGGACTGCCAATTCATTAATCCAAGCATGTAACCCAACATGTATATACTAATGAGCAGACACTATCATGAAAATCCAGGATTTGCCCTCTTAGAGCTCATAAGAGGAAAACAGGACATAGGCACACAGAGAAAGCAGTGGCTGTGACTATTAAAAGATAAAGTTATCAATCTGATAAGGGGCATCCACAAAAACCCTACACCTAACACACATAATGATGGAAGACTGAATGCATTCTCCGTAAGTTCAGGAACAAGGGGCAAGGACATTCACATTCACAACTTCTATTCAGCATTGTACTGGAGATTCTAGCCAAAGCAAGAGGGCAAGAAAAAGGGCATCCAGACTGGAAAAGAAGTCAGTCTTTATTTGCAAACAACATGATCCTACCTATAAAAAGGCCTAAGAAATCTACCCAAAACAAAACCCTAATTGAACTAATAAATAAGTCTAACAAGGTTGCAAGATATAAGGTCAATATACAGAAACCAACTATAAAAGTAAGAAAATGAAAAGAAAAATAAAAGTAAGAAAACAACTCCATTCACAATAGCATCAAAAATAATAAAATGCTTGGGAATACATTTAAGAAGTACGAGACTTGTACACTGAAAGTACAAAACACTCCTCAGAAAACTTAAGAAAGATCTAATGAATGGAGAGATACTTCATATTCACTAATTAGCGGACTCCATATTGCTAAAATAGCAATTCTCCCAAAAGTAATCTATAGTGTCAACACAAATCCTATCAAAATCCCTGTCAGCTTCTTTGCAGAAGTTGACAAACTTATCCTAAAATGTATTCAGAAATGCAAAGGACACAGAACAGATAAAACAATCTTGAAAAATAACAAAGTTAGAGGCCTTACACATCCCAATTTTGAAAGAAAGCCACAATAATCAGCATGACAGCATGGTATTGGCATAAGGACAGACATAAAGATCAATGGAACAGAACTGAAAGTCCAGAAATAAACCCCTACATTTATGTTCACTGGATTTTCACAAAGGTTCCTAGGTAATTCAATGGGGAAAGAATAATCTTTTCAACAGAGCCTGGAGAAATAAGAGATCTCATGATGCAAACATCGATTTAGATCAGGATTCAGCAAACTCTGGTGCTTGAGCCAAATCCAACCCACCACTTGATTTTGTAAATAAATTTTATTTGGAACACAGTCAAAACCATTCACTTAAATATACTGTCTATGGCTGCTTTCCCCTACAATGGCAGAATTGAGGACAGTCATCCTTTGGTATCCATGTAGGATTGGTGTCAGGACCTCTGTGGATACCAACATCTGAGAATGCTCAAGTCCCATATATAAAATGGCAGAGTATTTGCATATAACCTACACACACCTACTATGCACAAAGATATCTTATAGCTCAATAATAAAAAGATAAATAATCCAATTAAAAATGGGCAAAAGATCTGAATACACAATTCACCAAAGAAAATATATGGATAGGCACATGAAGAGCTGCTCAACATCATTAGTTATTAGGGAAAGGCAAATTCAAACCACGATGAGATACAATTTCACAGCCACTAGAATTACTCGAATCAAACATAATAACAAGTGTTGGTGAAGATATGAAGAAACTGGAATCCCATATATTGCTCGTGGAAATATCAAATGGTACAGCTTCTTCAGCAAACAGTTCAGCAGTTTCTTTAAAAAGTAAACCTGACAATTCATAAAATTCATAAACTGAATGACCCAGCAAATCCACTCTCAGGTATCTATCCATGAGAACTAAAAACATTTGCCTGAAAAAAAAACTTGTATAATACATAAATGTTCATAGCAGCATTACTCACAACCAAGAAGTAGAAAAAATTCAAATGCCCTCAACTGGTGACTGAATAAGCCAAATGCAGTACGTGCATAAAACAGGATACCATTCAGCAATAAAAAGGATGGACTATCGATATATACTACTACATCAATGAACCAACATCAAAAACACTTGCTCAGTGGAAGAAGCCAGAAATAAACGCTGCGTGAATCATTTACAGTCAGTCCTCCATATCCATGGATCCAATGGAAAACATTTGAGAAAAAGGAATAAAAGATAATATACCAATAAAAAATAATACAAATCTTTAAAAACACAGTGTAACAACTATTTACATAAAGTTTACACTGGGTATTATAAGTAATCTAGAGATAATTTAAAGTATACAGGAGAATGTGTGTAGTTTATATGCAAATACACCATTTTCTATAAGGGACTTGAGCACCCAAGGATTTTGGTATCCATGGGGGTCCTGGAACCAATGACCCATGGATAAGTCATTGAAAGACCAAGAAGTGACTATCTATGAAATATCCAGAAAAGGTAAATTTATAGAGAAACAGGATTAATGGTTACCTGGGACTGGGAGTGGGAATGGGGAGTGACTACAAACAGGTCAAGGCATCTTTTTAGGTCTTGTAAATGTTCTATAATTAGATTGTGGTGACAGTTGCCCAATTCTGTGTAAATTTACTAAAAAGCATTGAAATGGGTGAATTTTATAATATGTAAAATGCATCTCAAAAAAGCTGTTTTTTTTTTTTTTTTTTTCAAGAGATTGGGTCTTGCTATGTTGGACTCGAACTACTAGACTCAGGTGATCCTCCTGCCTCAGCCTCCCATGTAGCTGGGACTACAGGTACATACTACTGCACCTGGCTTAAACCTGTTGTTTTTTGTTTTTAAAGAAAAATCAGTGTCACCAGATAGAACCTTTCCAAAGCTCTGCTCCTGACCAGAGAACTGCAGTGTGGCCTCCAGAACAACATGTTCACAGCCCTGCCTGGCATTTAGGCCCTGAGTCTGGCCTCGCCACCTGCCACATCCTCAAGCATCCTACCCTCCTTGTGGCTGCCAAGCACATGGGCTAAGGAGTCAGAGACCCTGAGGTTCCAGCTCTGTGACCTTAGGTTACTTCACCTCACTGAACATGTTTCCTCCCTTCTGAGATGGGGATAATGACCCCTCACAAGGTAAGCATGTGGAATTTCTGGGGTGATGCTCCAAATACACCAGGCACAGTGCTTAGCACAGAGTGAATATGCACACGCTTCACAGGGCTGGCTTAGGCCACAGTCAACATCTCCTCCTGAGAGGCACTGCCTGACCATCCCACCTCAGTGGCAGCCCCAGTAGCCTTTGCACACTTTTTGTTTCCTCCTTAGCTCTTGCAGCTCTTTGAGTCTTTTGCTGTGTCTCTTATTTTCTGGTCCATTCTCCCTACTGGGCTGAGGTCTCTATGATGACAGGGTCCTCGGCTTTGTCCCTCATTGTCTCAGCAAGGCCAGGCCCAGTGCTGGACAAGTAACATGAAGACAGTGGACATTCACTGAGGTAAGGAATAACTGGCAGCTGCAGGTACAGCACTCTGGCACACGGCCTCTCTGGCACTGGCACACTGGGGGACTCTCTTGTGTGTCTGACTACATTCTTCCTGATCTTCCCCTCCGTCGTGGTCCAGAATCAGCCTCATGGGAGCAATGCATGATGGTAAAGTTGATCAAGCCTGGAGGGGATAATGACTCTGGGAACATGCAAGTGACTGGAACAGGATTGGGCTCAGTGATGGGAAAGGGGAAAAGGTTGGTGAACAGTGAGGGGTCTGGATGCTCACAAGCAACCAACGTCAGCTGAATCACCAAAGGCGGCAGCTCATGTGGAGAGAAGAGGGAAAGTGGACACATATGGGACATGACTGCCATGTATGCCTTCTCTTACTGAAGGACGAGGTTAAATGTACTGGTTGAAACAAAATCTTTACGTATTTCATACATTTGCTCTGAAAACTGGAGTTGAATATAACTGTAGCATTTTGCATTCATTAAATTTCTTTTACCTTCCATGGAATTATGGTTTGAACACACTTTGTGAATGTATGCAAATTAAGTATGTAAACTAGCAAGGCCTAGCACTTAATCTTTTTTTTTTTTTTAACATGGAGTCACTCTCTGTCACCCAGGCTGGCGCAATCTCGGCTCACTGCAACCTCCGCCTCCTGGGTTCAAGGATTCTCCTGCCTCAGACTCCCAAGTAGCTGGGTGTACAAGTGTGTGCCACCATGCCCAGCTAACTTTTGTATTTTTGGTAGAGGCAGGGTTTCACCATGTTGGCCAGACTGGTCTTGAACCCCTGACCTCAGGTGATCTGCTCACCTCGGCCTCCCAAAGTGCTGAGATTATAGGCATGAGCCACCACTACTGGCCACTAATACTTAATCTTAAAGGGCCTAGAACACTTTCTAGGACCAGGCCTCAGGAATTAAATACAAATGGTCATTAAGAATATTCAACTTGCTCTAAAGAAGCTGGGGCAGATCTTCTTTGGCATCTGCCTCTCATTAAATTAACTCATTTGTTCACTTTGGCAACTGTTTTGTTGATCTGGCAATCTTTTTCACTCACTTACCTAAAGACAAGGTGAATTCCTCAACCCTCAAGCAACTCTGCTAACAGAAAAAGCCCCTACACCAAAACATCCTTTCTTCATTACCATCACCTCCTTTCTTCAGTTTTCCTCTTTCAAACACAAGCAGAAGGAAGGACATGGCTCTCATTACATGGGGCTGTGCACTTTACTGTGCACCTCTGGACAAGTCATTTATTCTCTCTGATTAGTTTGCCCAGCTGGAAAAGAAAGCAGTCACCAAAGTCCCTTCTAGTTTTAAAACTAAGTGGGGCACTAACATCCCTGTAAGGACAGGTGTGGGTATTGTCACAAAATTTTCAGGCTGCCTTGCATACATCATGGGCAGTGGGGTGGGGAGGGGAGGGAATTAGAGAAGTGAGAAAAAGTTGCTTTTTGCACCCAAAAGATCTTAATTAAAGTCCCAGAAGTTACTCAGGTTAACACCTTGGGCAAATTCCTTAACCCCTCTAAGCCCAATTCTCCATCTTTAAATACAGAGAATTTATATGTTGCAGAAGTATTTAAGAGAACTCGAAATAAAATGTACCTGTCTTATATAACACTCAAAAAACATGAGGTTTCCAATCAACTTGGAAGAAGGCACCCCCAAAGGCACTCCCCTGAACCTCTGAAGACTCCAACTTAACTTTCCAACATTCCCCAAAACAGGAGACCAAATCACAAGGGTGAGAGCACCCAAACAGAGCCAAGCTTATCTTTCTAAATTCCAATTCAGGTTCCTCCCTCTCGGCCTTCCAACACAAGCCATCTCCTCCCCTGTTTAATCCTTGCCACAAGGGAGGTCAACAAAACTATACAACACCTAGAAAGCACCAAATGTGCCAAGTACTCTGCTAGGCTAAGAAGAGAGGCCTCCTCAAAGCACTCTCTCTGTGTGTTTCCTTAACACTTTCACAGACATCATCTTATCCTAGGCAGTACATAGGATACATACACATCATTTTTTTTTAAACGTGGCCATTGAGGCTCAAAAGAGATTTTTACCCATTAGGTCACACAGCTAATGAGCACCTGCAAGACGTCCTAAAGTCTGTCTTTCTAAGCCACCTCCCTAATTCCTCCTTAACTAATTCACCTGTAACCAGCTCTGTGCATTTCATTTAATCTTGGTCCCCTTTACTGGGTTCACTCATCTCTCCACAGTTACTTACAAAGCACCTGCAGGTGTAGACACAGGTGTAGGAAGAGGCTGAGCACAGCAACATGCCCCGGAATTGGCTTGTTTCAATCCCAGTTCTCCCACTTACTATTTACATGACCTTGGATCAGCTTCTTCACCTCTCAGTGCCTTAGTTCTCCTTAATCTTTAATAATGGGCTAAACAGGGCTGTTGAAAATTAAATCAGTTACTCATACAGGGTTTAGTCCAACGCATGGCCCCTACCCTGCAATAAGGGCTGCTTTTATTCTTCTGGGTTCTGGGGACAGTCTTCAATCAGACAGGAACCTTAGCCTCAACAAGCTTACACTCTAGCGGTAAATGCAATAAACAAGTAAACAATTACCAATAAAAGTGATCATTGTGATGAGTGCGATGAAAATAATAAATGTGTGACGCGGGGTAGGAGGCTACTTCAGATTGGGTGATCAGGGAAGGATTCTCAGGGGATATCTGAACTACAAGAATTACAAGAAGGAGCGGGATTTAAGGAGAGCTGAAGGAGAGAGAACAGCGGGTGCACAGACCCTGTGCTGAGCCAGCGGCACCCTCCAGGAAAACACGGCGGTCCTGAGGCTGGGGACTACGTGCGGTTGCCACGCGAGGGAAATGGCCCGAGATGCAGTCCCAGAGGTCGGCGGGCACCGGCCAGCTTTGGAACCAGGTAAGGCAATATCCAAGCGCGCTAGGAACCCACTGGAGGGTTTCAGGCAGGGAAGGGGATCGTATCTGAGCTATGGTTCTTCCAGCGCCCCGCAGATGTGCTGTGGAGAACAGACCGGCGGGGAAGAGCTGAGTCCCCAGGCAAAGCCCAGGTGGGAGGCACCGCGTACCCAGAACTGAACGCGCGCACCTGAGGGGACACTGGCTGGGAGGCCGGGCGCAAATTCAAGAAACGTAAAAACTAAGCCGACCGGAGCCAGGACGTGGCCAGGGCGTCCCTCGCGTCCCAGGGGCCTCGCACCTGTCCCGTTCTCCACTCCTCCCTCTTTGAAGCCGGTGTCGCGAAGCTACAAGGCTGCCAGCCTCGGGCTCGCGTCTCGGTGCAGCCTCTTCCTGGCCTGAGCCCCAGGAGTCTCCCAAGCCCCACGTCCCTCACGCGTGGAAGAAGCATTGGCCCCGCGCTCCGCCCCGCACCTCCCCCGCCCGCCCGCGGCCTCCACGCCCGCCCCGGCCCAGGCGGCGTCGCTCACCCGGACACCCTGCAGCACCCGGACCCGCTCCTCCTCGTCCACTCCGAAGGACACCCTACGGCCCTCGCTGCTCTCCGTGCTCCCCATGGCGAGCTGCTGGAGGGCGGGCAGCCACTAGACCCGGGCCCGGCTCCAGAGCAACCGAGCCAACAACGCTTTCCAGGACTCGCGCGGCCGCGGCACACGCCAACAAAACGACGTCCTATTGGTCGCTGCCGGAGGCTTCACCAATCGGGTGGCGCTGAGTCGCGGTGCCTTGTGGGGGTTGCAGTCCTTCCGTCTGGAGGGGTGGGGGCGTGGCGGTCTGCGCCTGCCAGAGTGCGTTAGGCTGTGGCTGAAGGTGTGTACCGGCGGAGGCCCTGGAGTGGCGGCCTGGGTTCAGGACAGGGTCATGTTCTCGCTTTGGGAGCCCACACTTGAGGGAGAGCCAACGGTGATGTTCTAAGGCCAGGAGACGCCGAGAAGGCCATGGCGCTCATCTGGAGGCGAATTTCTGAGGGTTCACCGCTTCATTCATTCAGCATACACGTGAAGAGCGTGACAGCGCCGCTCAAGAAAGCGAGTGTCCTGCCCTTGAGAGGTTTACAGTGCAAGGGGGGGAAACAAGTGAAAAGCCAAACACGCACGCAAGGAAACTGACGGTGATACACAGAAAACTGCATCGTGATGCCACGAGTGAAATGAACAGAAGGAGGCCTCTTTTAATTTCAGCGGTCAGAGCAACTTCTGAGGCAGAAGCTTTGAACTGAGCCCAAGGGAGAGTAGGATTTATGTAGAAGGTAGGGAAAGAGGTTTTCTGGGAGCCTCAGGCAGGAAAAGAGAAAGAGGGGTCATCCCATGGCTGGAAAGTGAGAAGAGAGCAGAGGAGCGGTGAAGAACCAAATCATGTCGGGTCTTGTGAGGCAGGATCTGAGTGTGGGTGCCGCGGGAGGACAGGGAATGGTCCTAAGCCTTTAGGAGGCATTGCCCAAGGAGTGTACATACCATGTGTGGAATGCAGTGTGCCAGGCATTGTGTGTAGGCTTCTTACACAGGACCCTATGTGTAAGGGAGCACACAGACGGTTGCCAGTCAGACACTGCTACCTTCAACTAAGCCCCTTTTTGTTCCTCTGAGTTGCTGAATGGCTTTGATTTGCAAAAGTGCGCCTGAAGCCGAGCTGAGGAAAACTAGATGGCTACATGAAAAAGGCAAAAAGTATTTGGAGCTCCTATTGGCAACCTGGATGGAGTGGGGTGTGCCAATAAAGTATTTTGAATGAAACTAGCAGATACTTTTGTTCCTAAAGATTCCATGGTCACACCAGCTCTGGGATGTTTACTGGCTTCTTCACCCTCAGCTATTCTCAATCTCAGAGCCTTACTGCTCTCTCTCAATCATTCTCTCCTCCTCACCCCTTTCTTACCAGGGATTAGGAAGTGGGGAAATGGGGAAATGGTCAAAGGGTACAAACTTTAGTTATAAGATGAACAAGTTCTGGCCAGGCACAGTGGCTCATGCCTGTAATCCCAGAACTTTGAGAGACTGAGGCAGGCAGATCATTCGAGTTCAGGAGTTTGAGACCAGCCTGATCAACATAATGAAACCCCATGTCTACTAAAAATACAAAAAAAAATTAGTCAGGCGTGGTGGCACGTGCCTGTAATCCCAACTACTTGAAAGGCTGAGCAGAAGAATTGCTTGAACTTGGGAGGCGGAGGTTCCAGTGAGTGGGACCTCACCACTGCACTCCAGCCCTGGTGACAGAGCAAGACTGCAACTCAAAAAAAAAAAAGATGAACAAGTTCTGAGGATCGAGTGCACGGCATAGATGGTGAAGGATGTGTTAATTTCATTGTGATAAGCATTATACAATGTGTATGTATATCAAACCATCACATTGTATACCTTAAATATATATAATCTTCATCAATTACTTTTTTTTTTTTTTTGAGACAGAGTCTCACTCTGTCACCCAGGTTAGAGTGAACTGGCGTAATCTCCACTCAGTGCAAGCTCCGCCCCCTGGGTTCATGCCATTCTCCTGCCTCAGCCTCCCGAGTAGCTGGGACTACAGGTGCCCGCCACCACGCCTAGCTAAATTTTTTTTGTATTTTTAGTAGAGACGGGGTTTCACCATGTTCGCCAGGATGGTCTCGATCTCCCGATCTTGTGATCCGCCTGCCTCGGCCTCCCAAAGTGCTAATTAAATTTTTTTTTTTGAGACATGGTCTCACTCTGTTGCCCAGGCTGGAGTGCAGTGGCACGAATATGGCTCACAGCAGCTTCGACCTCCTGGGTTCAAGCAATCCTCCTGCCTCTCAGGACTATAGGTACATGCCACCACACCTGGCATATATATATATGTGTGTATGTGTGTGTATATATATGTGTGTGTATATATATGTATATGTATATGAGACTGGGTCTCGCTATGTTGCCCAGGCTGGTCTCGAACTCCTGGGCTCAAGCAACCCTCCCACCTTGGTCTCCCAAAGTGCTGGGATTACAGGGGTGAGCCACTGCACCTGGCCATGGGTCCCGACAGCCACCGAGTATTCAGAGGGCCATCAAGACATCTGTGCTGAGCTAATTCAGCAAAACGAGTGAGAGCCAAAGGTGACCATGAGACTCTGTGTGGCCTCACTCCCACTGTGAAGAATCCTTGGGGAGTCTTGGAATTTCACAGACTTACAGCAGCATAGGTGAGCCTCATGACAACCAATATGTTCTTTATCCCCACTTCACAGATCAGAAAACTGAGGAGCAAACAGTTGAAGACAATGCAACATTATTGATCCATAGTAGGAGGAGGATAAAGGCAGTGGCAAGGGAAGTAAAGGAAAGGAGGGGAAGGGCAGCAGAGCTTTTTGAGGACCTTCCTTGTGCCAGGCTTCAGGGCACAAGCACACATGATTTTCATGCAGTTAATCTAGAACCAATTAATTGAGTCCTCAGAATCATCCTGGAGTTTTATTACCCTGTTCTAAGGCCCAAAAAACTGAGGCCCTGGGGAGGGAAGGTGTTGTGACAGGTTTGCTCGTGGCTACCTGGCACCCAGTTTTCCCTTCCCTACAACAGAACCCCAATTTCCTGGGTGCAGGCATGTGCCCAATTAGAAAAAATTGCCTCCTAGACTCCCAGTAGTCAGATGTGGGACAACTTGAACATCAAGAAGAATAGAAAGAGTAATGGCTTATAGCACATTTAATTGTTTTAAATCCATTAGCCTATTCTAGTGAGAGGGAGGAAGAGAGGGAGAGAGTGACAGAGAGAATGGGAAAGAGAGTAGGGAGATTCTTCTTTGCAAAAAAATGGCAGCTAACCAGTACAGCAGGAATTTGATATTTTTTAAATTGCCATTTTTCCACCTTCAGAGGATTAACTAAATGAGGCAAAAATTGTCAAAGGATACTAAAGTCATTGAGTGGAAAAATTGTTGGGGAACAGGCTATTCACCCAATGTACTGGGATTACCTTGGCCTCCCAAAGTGTTCGGATCACAGGCATGAGCCATCATACCTGGCCACAGAGCCCAACAGCCACTGAGTATTCAGAGGGCCACGAAGACATCTGTGCTGATTTTTTCCTGCAGCAAAGGAAATTGGGGTTCTGTTGCAGGGAAGTGGGAACTGGGTGCTAGGCAGCCATGAGTGGACCTGTCACAACACCTTCCCTCCTACCCAACCACAGATTTATTTATTACAAAGGGAAAACCTATTACAATGATGACACCTGGAAGTCACTACCTTAACCAAATGACCAAATTTATCATCTCAAATAGTGGGACCATTTGGCACAATGTCCCTCCCCAAGTGATACAACAAGGAACACAAAACATCTCCCGTGTAGTATTCTCGTCAAAAGTGTAACCTGAATCTAATGGCGAGGACACAGTCAGACAAACCCAGAAACATCCTAGGAAACAACTGGCCTGGACTCTTCCAAAAGGTCAATGTCATAGAAAACAAAACCAAAAAAAAAAAAAAAAAAAGATAGCTTAAAAAAGACGAAGGAGGCCAGGAGAAGTGGCTCACACCTGTAATCCCAAAACTTTGGGAGGCCAAGGTGGCAGGATCACTTGGGGCCAGGAGTTCAAGACTAGCCTGGGCAACATAGCAAGATCCCATCTCTAAAAAAATAAAGTTTTTTTAATTAGCTGGGTGTGGTGGTGTGTGCCTGTAGTCTGAGCTACTCTGAAGGCTGAGGTGAGAGGAGTACTTGAGCCTAGGAAGTCAAGGCTACAGTGGGCCGTAATTAGACCACTGCACTCCAGGCTAGGTGACACAGTGAGACCCTGTCTCTAAAAAATAAAATAAAATAACAAAATAATAAAACATTTTAAAAAGAGACGAAGAAAGCATAGCACTGAAATGCATCAGTGAATCCTAATTGGATCCTGAACTAAAACAACAACAGCAACAACAGGAAAGCTATCAAAAGATACTTAGGTTTTTTGGGAATGCTTTATATATGGAATAGTGTCCTAGATGATACTGTAGAATTAATGTTCATCTTCTTGTTCTTGGGAAATGCATGCTGAAATATTTAGGAGTGGAGTGCCATAATGTTTACAAGTTACACTCAAATGGTGTGGAAGAGAAATATTAACATTAGGTGACTGTATCTTAGAATCCACTACATTATTATTTCACTGTTTTATGTATGTGAAAATTTTTAGAACAAAAAAGAGGAAGGAAAAAAAGCTTTCCTCAAAGCTGGAAGTGACCACGTGACCCAGCTCTTCGGCAGGACAGCACGGTGCTTATGTGGGATGAGGTACAAGGCTGAGTTCTGCCTTTTTCTAGACTAGCCCCTCAGGCAATTTGTGGATTCTCTCTGCACCTCAGTTTTCTGAAGGATGTGAGAATGCTGCTGACATTACCTGGAGTATTTGTCCAGAGAGCTTGGTACTAAGGGATCTCATTCAGCAATAGCTGTTGTCATCAAAGACTTTGTTTTTGGAATGAATACTTTGGCAACCAATACGGAGGGTGTACTGGAGGAGGCAGTTGTGTGAGGTGCCTTGTCTTAAATTGGGTTCTTCAGAAGCAAACAACAAGAGAAGGGCTGGTGAAGTGGAAAAGTAATTTGCTTTGTCCATGTTAAAAGCCAAAAGGGGGCCAGGCATGGTGGCTCATGCCTGAAATCCCAGCACTTTGAGAGGCC